AGGAAACTGCTTCCAAAATAAACTAATATATATATATATATATATATATATATATATATATATATATATATATATTATATATATATATATATATATATATATATATATATATATATATATATATATATATATATATATATATATATATATATGACTGAAAACTCACACCCCAGAAGTGACTCGAACCCATACTCCCACAACTGGTATGTACAGGGACGCCTTAATCCGCTTGACCATCACGACCGGACATAAGGAAGTGATAGCCGAGGCTATATGAACCACTTCCCCGCCGGCACTCGGATGGTAATCTTGGGCATAGCATTTTATCAAATCACCTCATTCTTTGGGGCACACGTGAGGAACACAAATGCAAACAAGCCTGAATGGTCCCCAGGACTATATACAACTGAAAACTCACACCCCAGAAGTGACTCGAACCCATACTCCCACAACTGGTATGTACAGGGACGCCTTAATCCGCTTGACCATCACGACCGGACATAAGGAAGTGATAGCCGAGGCTATATGAACCACTTCCCCGCCGGCACTCGGATGGTAATCTTGGGCATAGCATTTTATCAAATCACCTCATTCTTTGGGGCACACGTGAGGAACACAAATGCAAACAAGCCTGAATGGTCCCCAGGACTATATACAACTGAAAACTCACACCCCAGAAGTGACTCGAACCCATACTCCCACAACTGGTATGTACATACTCCCACCAGTTGTGGGAGTATGGGTTCGAGTCACTTCTGGGGTGTGAGTTTTCAGTTGTATATAGTCCTGGGGACCATTCAGGCTTGTTTGCATTTGTGTTCCTCACGTGTGCCCCAAAGAATGAGGTGATTTGATAAAATGCTATGCCCAAGATTACCATCCGAGTGCCGGCGGGGAAGTGGTTCATATAGCCTCGGCTATCACTTCCTTATGTCCGGTCGTGATGGTCAAGCGGATTAAGTCGTCCCTGTACATACCAGTTGTGGGAGTATGGGTTCGAGTCACTTCTGGGGTGTGAGTTTTCAGTTGTATATAGTCCTGGGGACCATTCAGGCTTGTTTGCATTTGTGTTCCTCACGTGTGCCCCAAAGAATGAGGTGATTTGATAAAATGCTATGCCCAAGATTACCATCCGAGTGCCGGCGGGGAAGTGGTTCATATAGCCTCGGCTATCACTTCCTTATGTCCGGTCGTGATGGTCAAGCGGATTAAGGCGTCCCTGTACATACCAGTTGTGGGAGTATGGGTTCGAGTCACTTCTGGGGTGTGAGTTTTCAGTTGTATATAGTCCTGGGGACCATTCAGGCTTGTTTGCATTTGTGTTCCTCACGTGTGCCCCAAAGAATGAGGTGATTTGATAAAATGCTATGCCCAAGATTACCATCCGAGTGCCGGCGGGGAAGTGGTTCATATAGCCTCGGCTATCACTTCCTTATGTCCGGTCGTGATGGTCAAGCGGATTAAGGCGTCCCTGTACATACCAGTTGTGGGAGTATGGGTTCGAGTCACTTCTGGGGTGTGAGTTTTCAGTTATATATATATATATATATATATATATATATATATATATATATATATATATATATATATATATATATATATATATATATATATATATATATATATATATATTCAACCTGCAATCAACCTCACTGAGGACCAAGTCACTCTCCTAAATCTGGGTATAAACTGTCACGTTATGTCCAGACCAAGTGAGATGGCCCGGAAAGTGGAGTTGGAGATCCTGTTGGACGACATATTCGACCTCGAGGCACAAAAGAAGGTCACCACCAAAGACACCTTACAAGCAGAACTTATTGCAGAAGGAGGAAAGATTCGAGGCAACTACAGAAGCATCATACTGTCCCCTGAGCTCAAAGCGGCAGCTATGAGCCTTCGTGAGAACAAGGAGATAGTTGTCAGGATAGGTGACAAGTCGCCAATATACGTCATTCTTAAAAAAGACGAATATCTGGCGAAAACGAACCTCATATTGTCTGACCAAACTAAATTCCAAAGGATAACGAAGGACACTACAGCCGAATTAAAAGCAAAGGTTAACAGATTGATCGAAACTGAACGCCAAGAAATCCGGACTCCACCTGCCAAAGATTATTGGGGAATACAAACCTGGATATGCGTATGGAAATGTCAAGACACACAAGCCTGGAAACCCACTTCGGCCAATCATTAGCCAGATACCCACACCCACGCACAGACTGGCAAAGCGACTCAACGGCTTGCTGGCCCCTTATGTCCCTTGCACCTTCAGCCTGAAGTCTCCAAAGGAATTTGTTGACTTACTGCGGGGGAACACAGGCGGCAGGGATAAGAGCCTCGTTGGACGTAGAATCACTGCTTACCAACGTACCTGTGGATGAAACAATCAGGATGATAGCGGACAGAGTGTTATCCTGACAGTTAAAGCTGTTTAAATGATAGCATAGTAGAACTCTGTTTAGTGTTTGCAGGTTATAGTTGTGTGTGTGTATGTAAACTAAAAGTCTTTGAAAATGTAATAAGTTATTATGAAACGCGTTCAAGTGTCGCGTCAGACTAGATATAAAAATGAATTTTGGAGAATTGGTTTTTCAATTACCATCAACAGTGAAAAGAAACATAGGAAATATTGAGAAAATTCGTGTTAGAAGTATTAATCTTACTTTTTCGGTCATATTTAATAATATATATATATATATATATATATATATATATATATATATATATATATATATATATATATATATATATATATATATATGGGGTTCAGCTGAACTGATGTTACAGTGTGGTGTGGGGTGTATGCTTTCGGGTGTTAATGAGACGTACAAGGAATTAGGCAATTTGTGGATATGAGCAATCTTTTTTCTTATAAAATAAAATAGTGTCTACTACAAGTATTTGAACAAATAAGCCATTCAATAGTTATTGAAGAAAGAGAATGAATGGGTATTAACTGGGTATTAATAGGGTATTGATAGAATCTTCTGCAGTTTATATAGGTGACACCATTGAAGGGCAGAGGTGGATACAATGGATATGAAAAAGGAGTTTTAATCAGGGCAGTGATTGCCCCAACGTGGGTGGAAAATATCAAGATGGCCCTGTAAGGTCACCCAAAAAAAGGCCTTCTGCAATTACATTTTTATGTTCAATATCCGATATTTTAACCAGAAATAATAATTGAAAATGGGATTTAACATTATATACTTGAAAAATGGGATTAAATATGCCATCACATAAAACGGATTTATTGGGGGAATATGAAGGATGGCTGGCAGATGACATCATTGTACATTAGGGATGATGGAAGGCAGCCCATTATTCTCCTTAGGTGAATATCGAAAATGGGTATAAATATGAAAATGGGGTTCAATATGCGATCACAGAAAACAGACATATTGAGGGAAGATGAAGGATGGCTGGCGGATAGCGTCATTACTTATTATGGCCGGCTGTACCTGTGTGGGATCCGGAGATGAGCATATTTAGGCATGATGGGAGGTGGTCGTTTAATCTCTTATTAATTAAATATGCAAACATGGAAAACGAACATATAGACTGGAGATGAACGACTATGACGGCAGCTTCATCAAGATAACAAAAAATGACTATAATGGAAGTGAAACGTCACTAAGGAAACTAAAAATGACTATAATGGAAGTGAAACGTCACTAAGGAAACTAAAAATGACTATAATGGAAGTGAAACGTCACTAAGGAAACTAAAAATGACTATAATGGAAGTGAAACGTCACTAAGGAAACTAAAAATGACTATAATGGAAGTGAAACGTCACTAAGGAAACTAAAAATGACTATAATGGAAGTGAAACGTCACTAAGGAAACTAAAAATGACTATAATGGAAGTGAAACGTCACTAAGGAAACTAAAAATGACTATAATGGAAGTGAAACGTCACTAAGGAAACTAAAAATGACTATAATGGAAGTGAAACGTCACTAAGGAAACTAAAAATGACTATAATGGAAGTGAAACGTCACTAAGGAAACTAAAAATGTCTATAATGGAAGTGAAACGTCACTAAGGAAACTAAAAATGACTATAATGGAAGTGAAACGTCACTAAGGAAACTAAAAATGACTATAATGGAAGTGAAACGTCACTAAGGAAACTAAAAATGACTATAATGGAAGTGAAACGTCACTAAGGAAACTAAAAATGACTATAATGGAAGTGAAACGTCACTAAGGAAACTAAAGATGACTATAATGGAAGTGAAACGTCACTAAGGAAACTAAAAATGACTATAATGGAAGTGAAACGTCACTTAGGAAACTAAAAATGACTATAATGGAAGTGAAACGTCACTAAGGAAACTAAAAATGACTATAACAGAAGCGAAGCATCAGCAAGGTAACTAAAAATGAATATGATGAGAGCAAAGCTTCACCGAGGTAAAGAACAATGGCTATGACGGAAGTGAAGCGACGCCTATACGAGGGACCGGGCCTCGCCGATGTAACCAAAAACACCCATCACATAGACCGGCTGACGGGAAAGGCAAAACTGCCGGTCTAAGTCATAGCTTCCACTACTCCCAGCACCATCCTCTTCACTATCATCACACCCCAGCACCATACTCATCACCATCACTACACCCCAGCACCATACTCATCACCATCACTACACCCCAGCACCATACTCATCACCATCACTACACCCCAGCACCATACTCATCACCATTACTACACCCCAGCACCATACTCATCACCATCACTACACCCCAGCACCATACTCATCACCATCACTACACCCCAGCACCATACTCATCACCATCACTACACACCAGCACCATACTCATCACCATCACTACACCCCAGCACCATACTCATCACCATCACTACACCCCAGCACCATACTCATCACCATCACTACACACCAGCACCATACTCACCACCATCACTACACACCAGCACCATACTCATCACCATCACTACACCCCAGCACCATACTCATCACCATCACTACACCCCACAGGTTGCCTCCCGGATGAGTACCAGTGTCGGAACACCTGCATCGACGCCCTCAAGAGGTGTGACACCGAGAGCAACTGTGATGGAGGCGAGGACGAGCAGCACTGTGGTGAGTATATGGCGGTCACCACATCTGTGGTGAGTATATGGCGGTCACCACATCTGGGGTTAGTAAAGGTTGTCACCACATCTGTGGTGAGTATATACCGGTCACCACATCTGTGGTTAGTAAAGGTTGTCACCACATCTGGGGTTAGTAAAGGTTGTCACCACATCTGTGGTTAGTACAGGCTGTCACCACATCTGTGGTTAGTACAGGCTGTCACCACATCTGGGGTTAGTAAAGGTTGTCACCACATCTGGGGTTAGTACAGGCTGTCACCACATCTGGGGTTAGTAAAGGTTATCACCACATCTGGGGTTAGTAAAGGTTGTCACCACATCTGGGGTTAGTAAAGGTTATCACCACATCTGGGGTTAGTACAGGCTGTCACCACATCTGGGGTTAGTAAAGGTTATCACCACATCTGGGGTTAGTAAAGGTTGTCACCACATCTGGGGTTAGTAAAGGTTGTCACCACATCTGGGGTTAGTAAAGGTTGTCACCACATCTGGGGTTAGTAAAGGTTGTCACCACATCTGGGGTTAGTAAAGGTTGTCACCACATCTGGGGTTAGTAAAGGTTGTCACCACATCTGGGGTTAGTACAGGTTGTCAGCACAGCAGTGATGGTAGATCTCGACAGCTTGCGTGAGTACATGGGAGATCACCTCATATGAGGTGAATAGGTGGCAAGTCCCGACTTCTTTCAAAGGTAGATGGAAGTCAACGACAGCTGTGATGAGTGGGTGGAAGGTCACGACAGCTGTGATGAGTGGGTAGAAGACCACGACAGCTGTGATGAGTGGGTGGAAGACTACGACAGCTGTGATGAGTGGGTGGAAGACCACGACAGCTGTGATGAGTGGGTGGAAGACTACGACAGCTGTGATGAGTGGGTGGAAGACCACGACAGCTGTGATGAGTGGGTGGAAGGTCACGACAGCTGTGATGAGTGGGTGGAAGACCACGACAGCTGTGATGAGTGGGTGGAAGGTCACGACAGCTGTGATGAGTGGGTGGAAGACCACGACAGCTGTGATGAGTGGGTGGAAGACTACGACAGCTGTGATGAGTGGGTGGAAGACCACGACAGCTGTGATGAGTGGGTGGAAGACCACGACAGCTGTGATGAGTGGGTGGAAGACTACGACAGCTGTGATGAGTGGGTGGAAGACCACGACAGCTGTGATGAGTGGGTGGAAGACTACGACAGCTGTGATGAGTGGGTGGAAGACCACGACAGCTGTGATGAGTGGGTGGAAGACTACGACAGCTGTGATGAGTGGGTGGAAGGTCACGACAGCTGTGATGAGTGGGTGGAAGACCACGACAGCTGTGATGAGTGGGTGGAAGACCACAATCTGGTGTGATGTTTAGATCCATCACAATAACCTTTGTCAAGTTGTGACCGCTTCTGAGGCCATTATCTCCCAGGACCATTATAAAGTTGTAGAGAGCGTCCTCCTGTGAGTCACCATGACCCACGTAACTCACCATGACCCATGAAACTCATCATGACCCATGTAACTCATCATCACCCACGTAACTCATCATGACCCATGTAACTCATCATGACCCACGTAACTCACCATGACCCACGTAACTCATCATGACCTACGTAACTCATCATGACCCACGTAACTCACCATGACCCACGTAACTCATCATGACCCACGTAACTCATCATGACCCTCGTAACTCACCATGAACCACGTATCTCATCATGAACCACGTAACTCATCATGAACTACGTAACTCATCATGACCCGCATAACTCATCATAACCCACGTAACTCATCATGACCCATGTAACTCATCATGAACTACGTAACTCACCATGAACCACGTATTTCATCATGAACCACGTAACCCATCATGACCTACGTAACTCATCATGACCTACGTAACTCACCATGACCCATGTAACTCACCATGAACCACGTAACTCATCATGAACTACGTAACTCATCATGAACTACGTAACTCATCATGAACTACGTAACTCATCACGACCCATGTAACTCACCATGAACCACGTAACTCACCATGAACCACGTAACTCATCATGAACCACGTAACTCATCATGAACTACGTAACTCATCATGAACTACGTAACTCATCATGAACTACGTAACTCATCATGAACTACGTAACTCATCATGAACTACGTAACTCATCATGAACTACGTAACTCATCATGACCCGCATAACTCATCATAACCCACGTAACTCATCATGACCCACGTAACTCATCATGACCCACGTAACTCACCAAGACCCACGTAACTCACCATGACCAACGTAACTCACCATGACCCACGTAACTCATCATAACCCACGTAACTCACCATGACCCACGTAACTCACCATGACCCACGTAACTCATCATGACCCACGTGATTCACCATGACCCACGTAACTCACCATGACCCACGTAACTCATCATGACCCACGTAACTCACCATGACCCACGTAACTCAACATGACCCAAGTAACTCACCATGACCCACGTAACTTATCATGACCCACGTAACTCATCATGACCCAAGTAACTCACCATGACCCACGTAACTTATCATGACCCAGGTAACTCATCATGACCCAAGTAACTCACCATGACCCACATAACTCATCATGACCCACGTAACTCATCATGACCCACGTAACTCACCATGACCCACGTAGGGCGCAGAAACCTATCAACTAAGCCTATAATTATCTAGGCCTGTTATAGTACCTATACTATATGTACTATAATTAGCGCCTAAGGTCGAGTATATTAGGCCTAGGGGTTGCTTATTTAGTTATGGATATACTCTTTACTTAAGTTGTAATATGTTAAGCATATTTGGGCTAATTAGTAAAATAAAACGCGAACAGTTTTGGCTGGAAGAGTCAGTGGTGGTACGCCTGATCACACGATGGATGGTAGTACTGTCGTTATTGGCGGCACGGGCGAACAGCCTCGCTCTGAGAGTTATTCCAGCTCTATGATAACAAGTAGAGCAACTTAGTGCCACATGTAGCTGGTGTTATCATAGACGGCCAACCCACTCGTTCACAACCCCTCGTTCACAACCCCTCGTTCACCACCCCGCGTTCACAACCCCTCGTTCACCACCCCGCGTTCACAACCCCTCGTTCACAACCCCTCGTTCACAACCCCGCGTTCACAACCCCTCGTTCACCACCCCGCGTTCACAACCCCGCGTTCACAACCCCTCGTTCACCACCCCGCGTTCACAACCCCTCGTTCACCACCCCGCGTTCACAACCCCTCGTTCACCACCCCGCGTTCACAACCCCGCGTTCACCACCCCTCGTTCACCACCCCGCGTTCACAACCCCTCGTTCACCACCCCGCGTTCACAACCCCGCGTTCACAACCCCTCGTTCACCACCCCGCGTTCACAACCCCTCGTTCACAACCCCTCGTTCACCACCCCGCGTTCACCACCCCGCGTTCACAACCCCGCGTTCACCACCCCGCGTTCACCACCCCGCGTTCACAACCCCGCGTTCACAACCCCTCGTTCACCACCCCGCGTTCACAACCCCTCGTTCACCACCCCTCGTTCACCACCCCTCGTTCACAACCCCTCGTTCACCACCCCGCGTTCACAACCCCGCGTTCACCACCCCGCGTTCACAACCCCTCGTTCACCACCCCTCGTTCACAACCCCTCGTTCACCACCCCGCGTTCACAACCCCTCGTTCACCACCCCGCGTTCACAACCACTCGTTCACCACCCCGCGTTCACAACCCCTCGTTCACCACCCCTCGTTCACAACCCCGCGTTCACCACCCCGCGTTCACCACCCCGCGTTCACAACCCCTCGTTCACAACCCCTCGTTCACCACCCCGCGTTCACCACCCCGCGTTCACCACCCCGCGTTCACAACCCCTCGTTCACCACCCCTCGTTCACAACCCCTCGTTCACAACCCCTCGTTCACCACCCCGCGTTCACCACCCCGCGTTCACCACCCCGCGTTCACAACCCCTCGTTCACCACCCCTCGTTCACAACCCCTCGTTCACCACCCCACGTTCACAACCCCTCGTTCACCACCCCGCGTTCACAACCCCGCGTTCACAACCCCTCGTTCACCACCCCTCGTTCACAACCCCTCGTTCACAACCCCTCGTTCACCACCCCGCGTTCACAACCCCGCGTTCACAACCCCTCGTTCACCACCCCTCGTTCACAACCCCTCGTTCACAACCCCTCGTTCACCACCCCTCGTTCACAACCCCTCGTTCACAACCCCTCGTTCACAACCCCTCGTTCACCACCCCGCGTTCACAACAGGTCTATTACTTAGGGTGTATCACAGATACCTGGACGTCAGTATTTTGTATATTATTGTTTTTTCTCTACAACAGACTTGGCTACACATTGATAATGATAACCAACATATGTACATTTTCTTCTGTCCTCCATGGACAAGGTTAGAGATCTGTTAAACATATACTTCAGTGTTTTATGAAACAATCAACCAAAGAAGGTGATTGTAGTGCTTTTAAAAATGCTAATCTAACCTTCATATACATGTCGGAAAACCCGACACCATTTAATAATATTAAATACAATAAGCATATAATATTGCTGCTGTGTTGTATACACAAGTTAACCCATAGAAAATATTGCCTGTAGTGAAATTTTTCGTCAATAGAAAACGGGTTATCATTGCCACATCGCTATTAAATTTGCCAGCTATTCTGTTGGGAATTATTCTTAATACAGCAGTCTTTGGACTGTTAACATCATAAAAACATCTCATTTGAATTAACTTAATTATCAGTACCAAAATAGAGTAAATGTGACCTTTCTACCAATTACTGACATCTGGACAAAGGAGCCTGGCATCAGTGGGAGAGAGGTCAGCCATTGTTAAGATCAGAGTCACTGGAGCGAGTTCAGCTTCTGTAATTCTCCCTTAGACGAAGTGTTATGGAGAGTAAATAAGTGCTTCTTCCATCATCAACAAACAGTCATCATCTAAACAAGGGAAGTGTCTTTCCGAAATCTTATCTAAATCATTCCTGGCCAGTATTGTTAGGTAGATAGGAGAATTCCGGTTAGGACATGAGGCAACGACTCAATGCAGATAATTATTCCTTGGTCCTTATCTTATAAACAATATAATATACAAATGTTTCCTCTGATATAGTTGTCATATATATAGGATTCCGGCTTAACAGCTAGTACCCTTTGACAGGAAATAGAAGAGGAAGTAGTACAGTTACTTGGTACACCAGTACATGGGTGTGGATACTAACCTTAACCGAGAGGAATATTTCGTGTCATCATCCTTGTATATACCTGGTGGACTAAGGCTGCCATACAATAAGATAAGACCTCCTAATTTATTTATTTATATATGAAGTTTAATACTGTAGTTTGATTGACTGCATATATATAAATTTAATATAAACCCAGTCCGCTAAACATCATACAAATTGCTATCGAAATATATAAATTAACGTAAATATGAACAATATATAAATTAATATAAATGAAATAAATATAAATCTCACAGTCGGTTCCCCACAACACAGACTCAGGTTAGTATTGGTGGGTGGTGACGTGGGTGCGTCTCTGCCACGACACAGTGAGGAGCTAATGTGCGCTATGTGTCCCGTCAGAGACGTGGGTGCGTCTCTGTCACGACACAGTGTGGGGCTAATGTGCGCTATGTGTCCCGTCAGAGACGTGGGTGTGTCTCTGCCACGACACAGTGTGGGGCAAATGTGCGCTATGTGTCCCGACAGAGACGTGGGTGTGTCTCTGTCACGACACAGTGTGGGGCTAATGTGCGCTATGTGTCCCGACAGAGACGTGGGTGCATCTCTGCCACGACACAGTGTGGGGCTAATGTGCGCTATGTGTCCCGACAGAGACGTGGGTGTGTCTCTGCCACGACACAGTGTGGGGCTAATGTGCGCTATGTGTCCCGACAGAGACGTGGGTGCGTCTCTGCCACGACACAGTGTGAGGCTAATGTGCGCTATGTGTCTAGACAGAGACGTGGGTGTGTCTCTGCCACGACACAGTGTGGAGCTAATGTGCGCTATGTGTCTAGACAGAGACGTGGGTGCGTCTCTGCCACGACACAGTGTGGGGCTAATGTGCGCTATGTGTCTAGACAGAGACGTGGGTGCGTCTCTGTCACGACACAGTGTGGGGCTAATGTGAGCTATGTGTCCCGACAGAGACGTGGGTGCGTCTCTGCCACGACACAGTGTGGGGCTAATGTGAGCTATGTGTCCCGACAGAGACGTGGGTGTGTCCAGCCTCCCACTACAAATGCACCAACGGCCTGTGTGTCCCCTCCTACGCTGTCTGTAACTTCGTCGACGACTGTCACGACAACTCCGACGAGCAACAGTGTCGTAAGTACTGTTGATTTTCTTTACGGGTGTGTTTGGTTTACGTGAGTGTTTGTTTACACTTGTGGTTCTTTACACAGATGTTGGTTACATGGGTGTTGGTTACACAGGTGTTCACAGGAGTAGACTGCTACTGACTCCTGTTAGTAGTCTGAAAGCTTTCCCTTCCCACAGCTCATGGTAAGCCTTATCCTACTAATTTCCTTCTGGGGCACGACTACGGAAGTCTGTTAACAACCAGGTGCCCAATTTCTGCTGGGTGAGCAGTTCGGAGTCCGGGTAACCACCCTGCCCAGGAATACAACCAGTCCGAAAGGACTCCCGAGGAGGAAGGGAAAGGAACTATCAGGAGGAGGGGGGAAAGTGCCAAGCCATTACGGCTATATAGCACTTGGAAGGGATCAGGATAAGGACTTGGGATGGGATGGGGATTGAAGGAATGGTGCCCAACCACTTGGACGGTCGGAGAATGAACGCCGACCCTGCTTGAACGCCCAGTCCAAATGGTTGGGGCTATTTAACGTCTTTCACCATTCAAACTAACTCTCATTTTCTCTGCACTGTCTTGCCCCAATCTTTCTTTCACTCTCCCTCGCTCTCTCTCCCTCCGTCGCCAGTATTCCACATTCTTGTCCAGTCTCCACTCACTTTCCTGTTATCTATACCCTTCACCAGTCCGATCCATTTCACGATTCAATTTTAATTCCAATTCACGTTCCATCTCTATTTAATCCTTTCTTGCTATATTCCATTACCTTTCCCACATATTCTTGTGAACTCCCTCGCTTTTTTTACCTGTTATCCCTCTCTCATTGCCTCTCTCTCTCTCTCTTCCCTGTCGTATCTCCTCTCCACTCCTCTTCCTCTCTCCCTCTTCCAAATGGTCTCTTCCTTATCTCGTGTATATGTCTCTTATCTTAAATGTTTGGAACGTTGCTCATACTAAATATCCTGGTACCTTGTGTCCGTCTGGTATGTTGTTCTCTCCTGGTACCTTGCGTCAAACTCCTACCTTGCGTCAAGTTGCTACGTTCCGTCAAGCTGTTACGTTGCGTCAAGCTGTTACCTTGCATCAAATTCCTATCTTGTGGCTGGCTGTTACCTCGCGTCAGGCTGCTACCTCGCGTCAGGCTGCTACCTCGCGTCAGGCTGCTACCTCGCGTCAGGCTGCTACCTCGCGTCAGGCTGCTACCTCGCGTCAGGCTACTACCTCGCGTCAGGCTGCTACCTCGCGTCAGGCTGCTACCTCGCGTCAGGCTGCTACCTCGCGTCAGGCTGCTACCTCGCGTCAGGCTGCTACCTCGCGTCAGGCTACTACCTCGCGTCAGGCTGCTACCTCGCGTCAGGCTGCTACCTCGCGTCAGGCTGCTACCTCGCGTCAGGCTGCTACCTCGCGTCAGGCTGCTACCTCGCGTCAGGCTGCTACCTCGCGTCAGGCTACTACCTCGCGTCAGGCTGCTACCTCGCGTCAGGCTGCTACCTCGCGTCAGGCTGCTACCTCGCGTCAGGCTACTACCTCGCGTCAGGCTGCTACCTCGCGTCAGGCTGCTACCTCGCGTCAGGCTGCTACCTCGCGTCAGGCTACTACCTCGCGTCAGGCTGCTACCTCGCGTCAGGCTGCTACCTTGCGTCAGGCTGCTACCTCGCGTCAGGCTGCTACCTCGCGTCAGGCTGCTACCTCGCGTCAGGCCTCGGCAGTCACACTCCTGCTACCGTCGGTCGACCAGAAATGATCACTGGAGTGCTTGCAATTATTTAGATCACCCTGGTAGGCATCTGGGTCTGTGAGAGGGTGTTCAGCGTCACCACTGTTCAGGGGTACCGCTCGCACTGACTAGTTGCCATGTGTACACACCCGCTCTTGAGCCACCGTGTCTCCCCGCACTCTCCATATTTTGGGATGATCTCTCAATCCCTCTTAGTTGGTTAGAGTCCATTATCACCCAAGTTATAGCCGTGTCTCTCTCTCTAGCCAGGAAGCCTCACCAGGACAGGAGCAAAACCCAGCTAACACACATTAATACTTAATACAAAAACATACACATACGTGAAATGTTTATAAAACATTACAATCACCTCTTAGGCTACTACCAACTGATAACACTGATGTCACCTTATGTCTCCAACCTATAACTGTACCAAGCTGCTGCATGTACCTCAGTCCGCAGCCTTCTGCTTCCTTCACCGCTTTAGGCTGCAATACATAACACGTATAAGATTCATATACTTCCTACTCTACAAAAAGCATTAATCTCTCACCTTACACTGCGCCTTTCACGCCCAAAACGCAATCAAGCACACCCTTAGATATTAAAGTCCTTATGATCCTCTTTAACAGTACTTGAGATCCCCTATTACAATCATCGTCTGGATCCTCAAAATATGTAAGGCACTCCTGCAGCACTTACAATCAGCTACAATGAAGTCCTCCTTAAATGTGAGTAAAGCTCTCTCCAAACGCTTCATACAAACGACGTGTAGCTCCCTACACAGCTCGAAGATTCAATAGGCCCACGAAGTTCCACTTCACACTGGAAGTCCTACTTCCCGCTGCAGTATAGCTTGTACTCCTCTGGCACCAAGTTCTCTTACTAACTTTCACCACACAAACGTTGTAGCACCCCCATACAAACGTTGCTGTTCTCCCACACAAACATTGTAGTTCTCCCACACGAACGTTGCAGTTCTCCCACACAAACATTGTAGTTCTCCCACACAAACGTTGCCGTTCTCCCACACAAACGTTGCCGTTCTCCCACACAAACGTTGCCGTTCTCCCACACAAACATTGCCGTTCTCCCACACAAACATTGTAGTTCTCCCACACAAACGTTGTAGTTCTCCCACACAAACGTTGCAGTTCTCCCACACAAACGTTGCAGGTTCTTCCTCACAAACAACCTGCAAATCCATCAGCATGCCATAATAAACGTTTTCCTTAAATGAATTCAAAGTAAATAAAACTCCCCCATCCGACATCTCTTTCCACACTATTGCGTCGCCGCGACGGTACTCCCCCATCCTGGGCAGGGTCCACTTTGGGACCATGTCAAGACATGTCACAGGCCGCCTCCCTGGTCGCAAGGCTGGGGGCGGGGCATCCCTCAGTCAGTGCTTGACCTCCGGCGAGGGCGGACGTATCACTCCGGCCCCCCAAGGATGTTCTATCTCTACTCTCTTATTTTAGCTCACTGCCTTAATAAAATATATATACTTTATACATATACTCTTGGCATGATCGCTGGGCACACGATCAAACACAGGCAACCACTGCAACAACTGTAATATTAGCTTACTGCATAATTTGTACTCGATCGAGGGCACTCGATCAGCTGCAGCTACAAGATGTCGTCCTCTATGACATCCAACTAGGACCTAGATTCAGGAAGCTCTGTGTATTTCTTCGTAAGTGGGTTTGCTACGAAGGTTCCTAAGTGTGCCCTAAGAAGATGCTTAGGTGCAATTTAATAACGTCCACTTAGGAAGAAATTTGTTGGTTCACCTGCGTGCCGATAGAGGTCACTACTGTGTTTCGTTTGGCCCATCAGAGAGCAGCAACATTCTTCATATTGAAGATTTAGCGCTGGCTTATCGGAGCTCTACTGCCTCCTATTTACGTCGAATTTTCTTATAAAATTAGTATACTTCGAAGTAAAACAATGTTTTTTCAACTTCTCCAGCAGCACCGACATTGTAGTAAACAAATATGTTACATTTGTTGTTTACCTACGTAATTCTAAGAGATACTGTGTAGCTGTCCTTGTTGCTCGGAAGATGCGCTGACAATTATTGTATATATTTACTGAATTTACCCAAGGGCCACTAACTATCTAGTGGCCTCGAAGAGGACAGAAAGCCGGCGGCTTGTTAAAGGGCCCGCCAATTGTCTTAATGATATTTTTTAGCTGGAATTTGGCATTTACGGCTTCAGCGGGTAGGCGGTTCCATGGGCTTATAACCCTCTTGGTGGAAAAAACTTCTGTTTTCAGTCCTACTTGAGAGAACATACTCTCCAACACTATATCTGTGATTGCCCTGTTATCAGTGACTTCATACCAAATGGTATGAGGTATTTTGAGCTCTGTAATTACTTCATACACTCAAGAATATTGGAAGATATTCTTGTGCTGCACCCAGATTTTGCCAGTGGAGGCTAACAGTATTTTGCCTTAAGTATTTTGTTCTCTCCTAATTCCATGTATGACTGGCCATCCTGTGAGGTGAGGATGTTGGATGAGCTTGTAGCTGGTTTTTGATCTACACTCTGGTCCTTTATACAGAATAGGGAAGCAGCACATTGCTGTGTATACCTAAACATGTTTAAAAATACATTGTTTGAGAGGAGTCTTGTAGAAACTGGTAGGAGTAATTATAATATAATGTTTCCATGATTCAGTGCTTACCTCTTGTGAAAATCGCAAAGAGTTGTTTAGTCAGAGTTGATTTGTTTTTTGTATTGAGGCTGGTATTTTCTAAATTGATTCCATGTACAGTATGTCTAACCATCCTGTGAGATGGGAGTATTAGGTAAACTTATAGCTAGTTTTTTTTATCTACACTGTGTAATATTCCATATAGAATAGGGTAGCAGCACATTGCTGCTACCCTATTCTATATGGAATATAGAACAGTGATTAGCAGCACCTAATCTTCTTAATAAAAAAAATCAGTAATAAAGATTTTAAATTATAGTTTGTATTATTACAAATACAGTACTGTATTATCCTTATTAAATCATGTTAACCATGGATCATTAAGATCTCATGTTGATACGTAATAGTCATATTTCTTTTGAACTGCTAATCCATGCTGATCATTCATTAAATTGTGCATTATGCCTCAATTTTTCACTTCCTTGGATATACTGTACAGTACAAAAAGATAGGATAAAAATAAACCAGTAATATTTCTTTCATTATATATTTCATTTAAATAACTGCATCAATATTTTTACAGCTGACAGGATTTGTTTTACCATACAGATGCATTATTTGTTAAAAAAA